GTTTAGAAATCCAACGCCCTATCCACAGCGCTACAGGGACCACGAGTTCGTCGAATTTATGGAAAATCAGAATAAATAGAGTTACAACAATAAGAGAAAAGGCACCTCCAGAGCGTTTGTTGAAAGATTTCCTTGATGATTGTCTCTGAAAAACTCAATGTTGAATCTCAAATACTAAAACCACTATCTACATCTTAGGAACACCATCATCTCAACCACGATTCGAACCCGGCACCTTTGGTTTAGAAATCCAACGCCCTATCCACAGCGCTACAGGGACCACGAGCTCGTCGAATTTATGGAAAATCAGAATAAATAGAGTTACAACAATCGAAGAAAAGGCACCTCCAGAGCGTTTGTTAAGAGATTTCCTTCATGATTATCTTCGAAAAAATCAATGTAGAATATGAAATACTAAAAAACACAATCTACCAATACATGGTCTATATATTAGGAGTACCATCATCCCTGCCAGGATTCGAACCCGTGACCTTTGGATTAGAGGTCCAAAGCGATATACACTGCGCTACAGGGACTACGAGTTCCTAGAATTTATGTAAATTCAGAATAAATAGCGATACCACAATCGAAGAAATGGCACCTCCAGAGCGATTGTGTTAAGAGATTTCCTTGATGATTGTCTCTGACAAACTCAATGTAGAATCTCAAATACTAAAAAACATAATTTACCAATACATGGGCTATATCTTAAAAACACCCTCATTCCTGCCGGGATTCGAACCCGGGACCTTTGGTTTGGAAGATCAGCGCGCTAGCCACTGCCCTATAAGGACCACGAGTTCGTAGAATTTATGGAAACTCAGAAGAAATAGAGTTGCAACAATCGGAGAAAAGGCACCTAAAGAGCGTTTGTGAAGAGATTTCCTTGATGATTTTTTATGACAAACTCAATGTAGAATCTCAAACACTAAAAAACATGATCTATCAAAACTAATTCCTTCACTTAGCATCAACCTCATCCCTGCCAGGATTCGAATCTATGACCTTAGGATTAGAAGTCCAACGCGCTATCCACAGTGCTACAGAGACTCCGCGTTTGTACAACTTATGGAAACTCAGAATAATTAGAGTTAAAAAAATCAGAGAAAAGGCACATCAAGAGCGTTTGTTAAGAGATTTCCTCCATGATTATCTCCGACAAAATCAATGTAGAATCTCAAATACTATAAAACATTACCTATCTTAACTAACTCTATCACTTAGCAACTACCTCATCTCTGCCCGGATTGGAACCCGGGACCTTTGGGTTTGAGGTCCCACGCGCTATCCACCTCGCTACAAGGGCAACGATTTCGTAGAATTTATGGAAACTCAGAAGAAATAGAGATACCACAATCGAAGAAAAGGCACCTCCAGAGCGTTGGTTGAGAGATATCCTTGATGATTGTCACTGACAAACTCAATGTAGAATCTCAAATACTAAAAACACAATCTACATCTTATTAACACCGTCATTTCAGCCGGGATTCGAAACCGGCACCTTTGGTTTAGAACTCCAAAGCGCTATCCACTGCTCTACATGGACCACGAGTTCGTTGAATTTATGGAAACTCAGAATAATTAGAGTTACAACAATCAGAGAAAAGGCACCTCCAGAGCGTTTGTTGAGAGATTTCCTTGATGATTGTCTCTGAAAAACTCAATGTAGAATCTCAAATACTAAAAAACATGATCTGTCTTAGCTAATTCCTTCACTTAGCATCCACCTCATACCTGCCGGTATTCGAATCCGGGACCTTTGGATTACAAGGCCAACGCGCTATCCACAGCGCTACAGGGACTACGAGCTCGTTGAATTTATGGAAACTTAGAATAAATAGTTACAACTAACGGAGGAAAAACACCTCCAGAGCGTTTGTGAAGAGATTTCCTCGATGATTCGTCTCTGACAAACTCAATGTAGAATCTCAAATACTAAATCTGCCAATACATGGTCTATATCTTACGAACACCCTTATCACTTCCGGGATTCGAAGCCGAGACCTTTCGACTAGAAGTCCAACGCGCTATCCACTGCGCTACGACGAGTTCGTCGAAATTATGGAATTTATGATTTCCTTCATGATTGTCTCTGACAAACTCAATGATGAATCTCAAATACTAAAAAACTTAATCTAATCCAAATCTCCCGGGTTCGAATCCCGGTAGGGATGAGGGTGTTCCTAAGATATAGACCATGTATTGGTAGATTGTGTTTTTTACTATTTGAGATTCTACATTGAGTCTGTCAGATACAGTCATCAAGGAAATCTCTTCAAAAACGCTCTGGAGGTGCCTTTCCTCCGATTGTTGTAACTCTATTTATTCTGAGTTTCCATAAATTCTACGAACTCGTAGTCCCTGTAGCGCAGTGGATAGCGCGTTGGACTTCTAATCCAAAGGTCCCGGGTTCGAATCCCGGCAGGGATGTCGGTGTTGCTCAGAGATAGAGCAAATAACTGTAGATCATGTTTTTCAGTAATTGATATTCTGAATTTATTTCTTCGGAGACAATCATGAGGGAAATCTCATCACATACGCTCTGGCGGTTTCTTTTCTCTGATTGTTGTAATTCGAATTATTCTGAGTTTCCATAAATTCGACGCTCTCGTGTTTCCTTTAGTGCAGTGTATAGCGCCTTGTTCTTTTTATCGGAAGGTTCCGGCTTCGAATCCCTGCAGGGATGAAGGTGTTGCTAAGATTATGTTTTTTTTTTGTATTTGAGATTCTACAATGAGTTGGTCTGAGACAATCATGAATGAAATCTCTTCAAAAATGCTCTGGAGCTGCCTTTTCTCTGATTGTTGTAACTCTTCCCAGGTGGCACAACATGTTGAACAATATTATACAATATTGTTCGATATTATTTGATATTGTATAATATTTCGAATATTGTTCTGTATATCGTATAATATTTTACAATATCTTTGTGCTACTGGAGTAATTATTCTGAGTTTCCATAAATTCTATTAGTTCGTAGTCCCTGTAGCGCAGTGTATAGGTCGTTGGGCTTTAAATCCAGACGGTCCATGTTTCTAATCCCGGCAGGGATGAGGGTGTTGCTAAGTGATCGAATAAGTGATGGTAGATTATGCTTTTTATGTTTTTTAGATTCTACATTTAACTATCACTTTGTTACAGGGACTACGAGTTCATAGAATTAAGAATCTACAGTTAGTTGATCTGTATGTACATATGTAGTATATCTAACTAACACTATATATGTTCTGGAATAACAGGCTGAAATATGAGTTACCAGATTGGACTGATGACTGACGGTCGTGAGTCATACATGGGTGCAGTGATACTATATAAGTCAGTAAAATTCTGCGTGTGGGTCATTTAAAAAGCCTACGTGGGTCAGTCTCTGACCCGAATGTCATAGTTTCTCCACCACTGTCCTAACGCTCTTGAACAGATCTGAGGTCATATTTATGTGAATATCACTCTACGACAGCATTTTCGTATTTTGAGAGTTTCAGATTATGTCTTTATGAATGACAAAAGCCAGAGCTCGCTGTGAAAATATCGTGGATGGATGACTTGAAGAAGACGATGTCACTCCTTCCTCCTGGCTGAAAAGTATTGGAGATACTCGGGCAATGGTGAGGAACACGTCATCCAGAGCCTAGGTCTATTCCAGAACTTCGGATAGCACTGATTCAGGGTGATGTTAGCCCATCGACATAATTTTGTGATCCACACGCCCAGACATTGCACTAACTGTCGTGGTAAGCGTATCCTTTTGACTTTCATACAAATCATTTGATGCTTTAAAACCATATTGTGTTTTAAAATCCTATAAAACATATGGTTTTCTATATGAGACTGTACTGTCAAACTAAAAAAAGTTGCCATTCTTTATATGAAAAAGCTTAAAATATTAAATCAGTTACAATCATTTGCATTACGTGCAGTCTGCGCCTCCAGAAATAAAATATCTCAAAATAATTAATCTTAAAGGTGTCTTAGCTCAGCATTTGAAATATAAGACTGAAGATTGAAAACAATTTCGTTACAAGACATTCATTCTCCCTAATGCCCAGGGGCATTTCCCTCATTTTATTACGTATGGTACATATACCATATATTTAGTGCTGTTCCTTCTTTGTATTATACAGGCTTAAAGCTTATAGTAATCTTTTGCAGTGTTTCAGCTTAATTGAAACAAACTGCCGTTATCCTGGATTTATGGATATGATTGTAGCTGTTGTCGTAATATGGACTGGACGAGATGAATATCTGCTTTCTCAGGGGACTCATTCTGCAATACTCCATTGATTGAGCTAGAAAATGCAGTGGGTCCATGAAAGGTTGGTGATATATTAAATTGGTGCTAAAGGATGAATACCAATAAATAGTACAATTTTTACTATCACCTAGGTAATTACCCACCTTTTCTAGACTACCTAGAAGTACACAGCCAATAGTGGAATAATTGCTGAAATAAATTTACAATTGCATTGTGACACTAATAGAAAGATATAAGATAACTTTTACTTGCCAACTTTAAATTAATAATATTCTAGAATAAATTGTAATACAAAAAATTCACGTTCGCACAGAGATTCTTGTGATGCACACAGAATACAGATAAGACCAGAAAAAACTACACAGTGATACAAAACAAGTAAAAATTATATTTTGCTGCAGACTTTAAAATTGAATATAATAATAAGAAAATAAGAGAATGAGAGAGCTGTCTATAGCAATTATACTTGATCGTAGCATGACTGGGCAAGATCTCACTTTTCGAAAAAGATTTTTTGTTGTTGTTGTGCTGAGCTAGTGTTCTTGGCGTGACAATTTATTCAAATTTTTTAGATTCGCTGTTCGCCGTCTTGATTTAAAAGGTTACCTCTTTGTTCACATTCCATTCCACTGGCACACTGTCGTTCTGAAGTGGCCCAGGACAAAGGATCTTCGGTTTGTTCAGCACATCAGCACCATGTCATCTTTCCAAAATGATCTTTAAACGTAGATTTTGCTTGTCATATTTTGCAGTTTTACACTACATCATATAACAGAATTTTTTTATACCCGTCTGCACGCCTGAGAGGAAGAAAACCGAATGAAAAAATCATCGGAACCCGAAACCTGCAGACGTGCGACCGTTATGTTCAGTATTCAAAAGCCAATTAGCACTAGACAAAGGAAACTCTCCCAGCCAGGTAATGCGCAGACAGTTTACACAACAAAAGCTTCCGCCGTTAAAATGGCGAGCATATAGTTCCGTGAAATAAAAGTGATTTACAATTTAATAAACATCGAAACATTAAAAGAAATTATTTAAAAAGTTAAAGCGATTAATAATTAAGTTGATTTCTACAAAAAGAAAAATGGTAAATTGAGATATTTAATAAAACGATAAAAAATCCTTTGAGAATTTAAAAGTTGCCACAAGATAAGAAAGAAACTTTGGTGGCGAAAATATAAATTATTTAAAAGTACTGGCAAAGCCGAAAAATGATGCATTTGCATTTTTGCAATCTAACAGTCTAGTAGGGATGATTAATAGAAGTAACATGAATTTATTGACACTTGTCTACGCCAGACTAAAACAGAGTTTACGAAAGGGTTTCATATTATTAAAGAATAATTAGGATGAGAGAATGGGCGGTTATGTTTTTCTAAAACTATTCCAGACGATATAATTTATGATTCCCCCTCAGTATAAATATCTTCTAGTGAAGCATCTGCATTTGCAGATACAATTCGAGTGATTTAGTAGGACATTTGGCCTTCCAACAGAACACGAAGAGAACTGTTAGGTCTGAGGATCATCCAACTAAATTCTTTTTAACAGAATTTTCTCTATAAGAACCCAGACAACTACAGTACAGAGTATTGGACAAGAATTGGAGGCTGCAATCTTTGAAAAGAGTCGCGAAGACACTAGCAGTTAATTTGAACAAATAATGTTTAATTTAAAAACCGTTGCGTGGTCTAAATCTGTGGAACACATACACGAATCTCTTACATTTGTGCCTCGTCCTGTGACAGAAATGAACTAAGTCCAAAGGCATGAAATAAAGTCATGCATGAGTCTAAGAGAGCGGTTCGATAATTAAGGTACAAGGCGAAATTACACAGACAATTATAATTCTGGAAAGTATTTAATACATTTCACAAACACTACATACTTTTGTTTATTTATTGACACAATCTCCGTAAGTATTGAGACATTTATCCCAGCGTGACATTAGTTTGTATGTCATGTTACTGCTGTTTGTCAAGTTGCTTGAAGTATTCCAGAATCTTTTTTTTTTCAAATCCTTTTGATTCACAAAGCATTCTCCCGCAAAAATTTATTTAAAGGTCCGAATAAATGAAAATCCGAGAGGGTTAAATCTGGACTACAGGGTGAATGTTGCGGGTAGTGTGATGTCTCCTATTTTCGTTGTTTCAATCACGCTTTGGTTTGCTTTGACGCATGGGGTCTTGCGCCATCTTGCAAAAGATTAACTCCTTCACGTAATCACCCTGACCTTTTCTTTTTAATGACTGTATGAAATTTTTGGAGAGTTTTGGTGGGAAACGGATTTGCGGATCAGGAAGATTAGCAAAAACAACCCGTTCTGGAATTCTTCAAGCAACTGGACAAACAGCAGTGCCATGAATTGATGTTCAGATGAGTGTCATGCTGGGATAAATGCCTTAACGTTTACGAAGATTATGTAGAGAAATAAACAAAAGTATGTAGTTTAATGTATTAAATATTTTGCAGAATTTATTATCGGACTCCCTTGTATAATTGAATATCACTTCATTATTTTATTGAGTTTAAGCACTATTAGATTAA